TAGAGACTGGGGTGGATCTCACTCTTGCTCAGTGGTTTGGAACTCCTGACCGGAGCGATCCATCTCTCTCTGGCCAATTAATTTCTTTCTATTTATAGTAGAGATGGGGTCTCGCTCTTGCTCAGGCTGGTTTCGAATTCCTGACCTCGAGCAATCCGCCCACCTTGGCCTCCCAGAGTGCTAGGATTACAGGCGTGAGCCACTGCGCCCGGCCTACATTTTTTTTTTTTTTTTGAGACAGAGTCTAACTCTGTCACCCTGAGTAGGATACAGTAGCATCATCACAGCTCACCACAACCTCAAACTCCTAGGCTCAAGCAAGTCTAAGCCTCCTGCCTCAGCCTAATGAGTAGCTGGGACTATTGGTACACACCACCACACCTAGATAATTTTTCTATTTTTTATAGAGACAGGGATCTCATTCTTGCTCAGGTTGGTCTTAAACTCCTGAGCTCAACAATTCTCCCAGCCTTGGCCACCCAGACTCCTAGGATTACAGATGTGAGCCTCCGTGCCCCATCAGGTTTTACATTTTCTAAATGGTTGGAAAAAGGCAAAAGGCAACTATTTCATGCCACTTCATGAAAATCATAAGAACACAAATTTCAGGCCGGGCGCTGTGGCTCACGCCTGTAATCCTAGCTCTTGGGAGGCCGAGGCGGGCGGATTGCTCAAGGTCAGGAGTTCGAAACCAGCCTGAGCAAGAGCGAGACCCCATCTCTACTATAAATAGAAAGAAATTAATTGGCCAACTGATATATATATAAAAATTAGCCGGGCATGGTGGCGCATGCCTGTAGTCCCAGCTACCCGGGAGGCTGAGGCAGAAGGATCACTCGAGCCCAGGAGTTTGAGGTTGCTGTGAGCTAGGCTGACGCCATGGCACTCACTCTAGCCTGGGCAACAAAGCGAGACTCTGTCTCAAAAAAAAAAAAAAAAAAAAAGAACACAAATTTCAGAGTCCATCAATGAAGTTTCACTGGAACACATCCATACTTATTCATTGATGTATCACCTATGGCTGCTTTCACACAACAATGACAAAGTATAGTATTTGAAACAGAGACCATATGTCCCATAAAGCCTAAAGCGTATCTGGCCCTTTAATAGAAAAGGTTTGCTGACCCCTGCAGTAAATCAGTAAGTCTGTAAATTCTTTGGTGTTTTGTTTCCTTTATCCTTATCCTCTTCATTTTCCACAACCATCATCACAGCCCAGGCCCTTAATACCTCATGACTATATGACATTTCTATTCTCTCATGAATGCTGTTTCCATTCCCCTTGGTGCTATCAAAACTCTACTCACAAAACTTCAGTGGCTATTCGTTAACCATAGCGTAAACTCCAGACTGTCTCACCTGGTACCAAGAACCCACCTACTGACTTCTAGCCCTTACCTCTCTTTCCAACCTACCTCCTACCATCACTCAACACAAATGTTTCCTACAGCTCAACAAGGCTACTTGCTATTCCCAAATACCCTAAGCTTTGCTGTCTCTCTGTCTTTGGCCAATCTAATCTCCTTTAGTTCAAACACCCTTCTGATTCTATCCAACAATCTCATCACATTCTTCAAACCTGGAATTCTTAATTCCAGGTCAGGCGCAGTGGCTCAGGCCTGTAATCCTAGCACTCTGGGAGGCCAAGGCGGGCGGATTGCTCGAGGTCAGAGTTCGAAACCAGCCTGAGCAACAACAAGACCCCGTCTCTACTATAAAGAGAAAGAAATTAATTGGCCAACTAATATATATAGAAAAAAATTAGCCGGGCATGGTGGCGCATGCCTGTAGAGGTCCCAGCGTTATCTCCAGGAGGGCTGAGGCAGCAGGATTGGCATGAGCCCAGGAGTTTGAGGTTGCTGTGAGCTAGTCTGACGCACACGGCATCACTCTCAGCCTGGCAACAAATGCGAGACTCTGTCTCAAAAAAAGGGAAATAAAGATAAAAGGTCTGTCACCCGTAAGGACTTTGTTCCTCCCTCCCATTCCTTTCTGCACCTTGAACCTTCTGAGCTAGAATTATTCTTGATCTCTAAGAGATTATTGCCATCGGTTCATTTCACCCTTGAAGAGGGGCTCATTGAGGATGGGGGCATAGCGTGGGTCATGTCTGGATGTCTCCTGCCACCGGTGTGGCAATGTTAGCCATGGGCTATTGGAGAGAGAGTGTAGGAAAGATATCAATAAACAAGGAAAAAGAACCTCACTACTAAGATATTGTCTTTCAGCCTTTCACCAAGAACGCTCAGTCAGACTTCAGGTAAGGATACTTTATGATGCCAGCTAGGGCCAATGTAGTCATTCGCCGTCCGATGCTCAGATCTGCGTAAGTTCTTCCTTGGTCACCGTTGTGCTGCCCGCTTCCTCATTCTGCGCAAAGGAGTGGCAAACTTCTGAGGTGGAATGTAGGAGAAGCGTTGGTAGAGGAGGAGAAAAAGGCAAACATCTTGGTGAAAACCCTGAAAAAGACTATTTATTCCCTGTGGCCCCCAGCCCCCCACCCTGGACACCATCTTAGCATTGTTGTGCCATTGGCTTTCTGGCACAGAAAACACAGAGAAAGTGCACAAGCAGCCTGGCATTCCCATTTAGTGAAGGCCTCTGCAACCCAGGTTTCTGACCAAAAACCGGCCAATATTTCACGCTCAGATCCTTCAAATCGCCACTTGAGTTCCTCATTTCCATACCGGTAAAGCCACATCCTGCATGGGCGATGTTTAAACCATTACGCTGTTATAATATTTTTCTTCCTGTTTCCATCATTCAGGTCCTCGTTGGGTCTCTGCATTCTGAGCAATCACCTCTTTCTTCTCTTCTTCTTCTTTCATTCTCTTTCTACCAGATATGCATAAGAAAAATGGTAAGGCTCTAGACCAAGAAGCCCAGCACGCATCCACCTGACAGCACTAGCTACTGTACAGACTCCAATCCACCACCACCCTTTTCCTCCATACGAGGCCCGTCTCTCCCAAACCCCAGAAAAGTTTGCCAGCTAGTTAACTACGCACCAATAGCCTAACTACCAACCAAGTGTTGGGGAACCAGAAAAAGTCTTTTTATGTTGGGAGTAGAATGCTATAATGGCTATGGACAGGGAGGCAGGGGAGGATAAAGTCCTTGCTTTGCTGGTTTTTGAGAGTCCTGCCTTCTAAAGTCACAGTTCAACTTCTCCAAACCACCTCCACCCTTTATCCCTCTACCACCAATTAGGGGTCAATCTATTGCCTGATTTCTCCCTCTACGGCTTGCTCCACATCAGGCCAACACCTAGGGGAACAGATTGGTATTGAAAATATACATAAGGAAGAATATGCTTTTGCTGTTCCACAGCCTCTTATCACCAATTGGAAACGCCATCCCTAACATCAAATCTCTGTAAACTACGAGTCATAAAAATGTCTCCTGTCGGGTAGGGACTGGCCCATCCTAAAATGCAAGGGTGCAGGACTCTTCAGGTGTCTCTTCGCCCCCGACATTTCAGCCCCAGCTAAAAGTCCAGAAGCAACTATGGGTGCACACAAGGGATCTGTAGTGCTTGAAAATGTGGTTGTACGCTTGGCTCTGTCCTCCATTAGTTCCTCTGTGTTGCTTCCTTCACCTCTGCCTTTCCACTTTCTCCTCTCCCTCAGGGGGCTCAAACAAGGAACCTTTTTCAATCCCTCTGAGGGCAGGGCGGGCAGGGGCCTGGGTGGTATCACTTTAAAGGAAAAATTAAAAAAAGAAGATTGAAACAAGGACAGGCCAGCACCTAAAGAGTACAACTTGTATCGCGCTTTGCTTCAGCATGGCCATATAGTCCCTCCCATTCTCTTACCTCAACAGGGCAGGCCTCAGGAGCTGCATTTAACCTCTTTTCTACCTTTCCAGTGTCTCTTCTTCTTGGAGGTATTTTCCTCCCTATTTTTATCCCATCCTCTGCAAGACAATAAGACGATGATCCAATTAGGAAGGAGGTCCTATACAGAGAGCTTATGCCTTCCAGTTTTGTCTCATCTTAAAATTGTCCTCTCGTGGCTTTAAGAGCCCAGCCCTTATTCTTAGACGCTCTCCTAAACTGAGAGGGAGAATGCTGTGTTGTCCTTGCCCAGACTGCGCTTGTTTGGAACTGAGCACAGGGAGCAGAATGAGAGATTAGGCTAGGAACAACAGAAGGGATAGAAATGACAGGACAGGCGACTTACCAGGTCAGGTGGGACCAGTGTGCAGAGTGGTGTAGGCTGCGTGTCCCCTGGGAGTTGGGAGGTGATAGGAGTCTTTGGTGAGGGTGAACCCTGGCTGGGACATCTTTTTGTTTCCTCTACTTCAGCCAGTTTCAGGCATGCTCCGCGCCCATTTAACGATGCTCAATCCTGGAACCTATAGCAATGGGAAAAGAAGTTAAAAAGACCCATTGGAGCTCAAGGTGCCATTTCCTTGTTAGCCCCCTAGTTCCTCTCAAAATTTTTACCATGGAGAAAGGGCTCGAAGCTCACCTT